TGGGAAGGAACCAGGGCAAGGAGTGGAGGATAAACTAAAGGACAAAGGTCAACTTTAGAAAGCTGTTCTACCAGATCTTGCTCAGAAAGCTATTCAGGTATACAGAGGCTGAGAAGAAAAGGAGATAGGTGGGATTAGCAGAATGAAAAACTTTAAAAGCCTAATGATAAAAAAAATCTAGGGGGCCAAGAGAAGGAAGAATAAAGCAAGAATTCCTGTAGTGTTTTTTTTACAGTTTTCTCTTACGTCTTTAAACTAACAAACTTTTAAAAGAGACCTTATTATCAATCTGCAAAATTCTAAAGATTGTATGGAGTTGATGGATATATTTTATCTTAAACTACTTGGTGGTTGTTGAAGAATGCACATTTTATTGTACATTCCAATTGGAATTTTGTCATTTTCTTTTTTTATAAGTCAGGATTCATCTCCCATTCTCCTTGTCTGATTCCTATTTAAAAATTTAAAGAATAAAATGCAATTTGGAGATGATCCCCTGTGTAATGTTTTTGAAGATTTTGCTTCCCTTTTAACCCCCCATTTCCCCTTATTAGGACGTGTGTCCTAAACAAATAACTAAGTAAAAAGTAAAAAATATACCTTGATGTTCAGAATGTAATGTGAAAAGGCAAAAAGAATGTTTCCCAACCTGAAAGCACACTTCACTGAGAGGTTACCTTTTAATTGCCCAGTTTATGGCAAATGTGAGCTGCATTTTATGAAACCAAAGTGTGAAACTCCTTTCATGTCTTGTTGTCAGGTATTCCTGACAGTATACATCTGAATTTTAAGGGCTGTAATGGTTGGACATCAGTTGTAAAAGTTTTCTCTTATGTCTTTAAACTAACAAACTTTTAAAATAGACCTTATTATCAATCTGGAAAATTCTAAAGATTGTATGGAGTTGATGGATATATTTTATCTTCAACTACTTGGTGGTTGTTGGAGAATGCACATTTTATTGTACATTCAAATTGGAATTTTGTCATTTTCTTTTTTTATTTAGCTCTAAAAACACTTTCTTCTTATGTTCAAGCTCTAAAATATATTTATGTATTCATACATAACTGTTGATATATATTTGTACACACACATGTGAGCTTAAAATAAGTATTTTACTGATGCTTCTTGAAATGACAGTATTTTAAGAAGGAAATATGTTCATGTAAGTTCACATAAAATCTAAAGTTCTTTTTTTGGTTCAGTGTTTAGAAAATTCTTGATAATTTAGAATCTTCCACAATGGAAAGTAAAGCATTCTGTCACAAAAGCAGGGAGGATGAGACACGAGGTCAAAGGGCATTTTAGAAACAAACAGCTGGGCCAGTTTATTTAAACAGATACTGGGATGGGGGAACTGACCTCTGTTTGACTTATAGTGGGAGGAGCAAGAATGTCATTTTATTACTTTGCCCAGAAGGAAAATGTTTTTGTATCTGAATTCACCCCGAAGCCATCTAAACACATGGCTTTGCTGTACGTAGCATACTTCCAAAGAGAGTACATATAAGATAGTCTAGGATAATGATAAAATACACTAAAGAGAGGCAAATGTTCAGATGGTTTTAAGATCAAAGAGATCATGCTTTAAAAAAGAAAATATTTGGCTATTAGTTATTTTTAGGTAAAGATATCTGTCATGACCCCAGATAATAGTGTATTTCATATAAGTATAGGAATTATAATCTGGTAACATTCTGAGAGTTTATGATGTCCTGTATGAGCTGATAAGTTTTCAAAGATGAGAAGTTCCAAGTATGTAGTTTAGACAAAGTGATTAGGTGTTCTTGGGTTTTCAATGTTTTATTATTTTTATTTTATTTAATGAAATATCTTCATATCTACATATCCTAACGGTAGCCTACATCGGTGCTGTCAGTATTAACAACTGGTTATTGCCACCAAAAGAAAAGCAGCAGTACCTAGTACCTGGGGGCCCTTAGTTGAGAGGCTGTGGTGAGGTGTTTACTTGCTACCTGGGGACCAGAGCAGGGCTAGAGTAACAGCATTTCGTGTTGTCCACTGACGACCGTCAGAGGCACACAGACAAACCTCAGCGTAGTGAGCAGAGCATGGCCCAAATGATGAATGGACTCAACATCCTAGAACAACTCACATCCTAGAATGGCATTGTTAAGAATCACAGAGGTATAACCTAGGGAGAAGAGGGGAAAAGCCAATGGAGCATGATGGCTATGGTTTAAATATTTGAAAGCAATCCTGAAGAAGTAATATTTAAATTGTTTAAATTACCCCAAGAAGTTGTCCTGGTGAAAGCACTTTAGATCCAGTGAGGCAAAGCTGCTGACAGCTGCATGGTCTATGGAATGAGTGGGCTCTGAGGTAAGGTGGCAAGTATTGTATTAGAAACAGCCCAGCAGAGGTTACCCTCTTGATACCCATTACATGGGGATATCAGAGAGTGAAAGGGAGTCAGTGACCTAGCTAGGTGACCATTAAAGCCCCTTCCAAAACCGAGGTGTGATTTTTCTCTCATTCCTTGGGTTTAACAGTCATGGATTCAAACTTGAGTTGATTAATATGAATTGGTCTTTGGGAATCTGAATATACAGCTGTGAAAGAGGCAAGCTATGGAATATAGATAACTCAAGCCACCAAATCTTATTCATAGTTTTATCTCTGTCTATATACACTAGCAATACAGTCATCAAAATCCCCAATCTACAAAACGTTCGGTCATGCTTATTGGAATCAATGATAGAGTTGTTGCCAGTGTTGATTGGCTCAAAACCAGCTCATTTAAAAATATCTATGTACTTCAGAATATTCTAGATGGGTGGCACAGTAGTGGCCATGCTCTGTTTAGGACATTAGAGAGGCGGGTACTTGATACTATTCGCCAGCTGTCTGTCACTCAGCAAATTATTAACATCTCTTGGGTAACATGTGACCTCAAATAAGTCACTTAATTTATCAGAGCGGTGGCTTCGCGTTTGTTAAAAAGTGCTCTTCCTATTTTTATATAAATAGTATAAATCATATCCACAAAATATTATGTTTTTAAAAGGACTTTTAAAAAAGTTACCAGAGTTCCTTCACCCTAAGAGCCTGCAGACTATGAACAGTAGCAGTAGATAAAGAGTTGAGTGTTGGTCTCTTTACCTAGATTAGTTACTATGAAAATTACTTTTGGTATATGCAGAAAATTAATATTAAATAATTTTCTAATTGGTCATGCAGTGAAGGCAGATAATGAAAAGGCAGAATTTTTTTTCATTTTAATTGGTTATTTCACATGGTGTTGGTGCTACACCTGTGCTTATAATGAGAATGGAGAATTAATCTAACCTTCTGCTCACTGATTCCAATTTTCATGGTTTATACAAGATAATGATAACCTGATTTGCAACACAATTTGTTTTAGATCTGTGCTTTAAATATTTTTATTAGCAGTTCAGGAACTTCATATACAAGAACTGATATAATAAGTGTTACCAATAAGAGTTAGCACTAACAGTGTCCTTTTAGTTAGATTCCACTGTCATTATTTATTTTAATTACTTCTCAGACAATGGAAAGACATAGGAATGTAAGATATTGAGAATCTTCAAATGTCATGGAGTTTTCATTTTTTTAAAAAATATATTTTATTGATTTTTTACAGAGAGGAAGGGAGAGGGATAGAGAGTTAGAAACATCGATGAGAGAGAAGCATCGGTCAGCTGCCTCCTGCACATCTCCCACTGGGGATGTGCCCGCAACCAAGGTACATGCCCTTGACAGGAATCGAACCCGGGACCCTTGAGTCCGCAAGCCGATGCTCTATCCACTGAGCCAAACTGGTCAGGGCTTCATTTTTATTTTAAAAACCTGTCCCTGTCTGTTTAATGGTTTGTTTTGGGGGAATTATTTTCCTACCTGAAGAGGGGAGACTTACAAACTAGAATTCATACTGGACTGTGGATCCTTTAATTATTAATAGTGAATAATCAAACTTTTTACTGTATTTTTATGTGCGGCTCATGTTCAATATATTCAAATCTGAATTGAATTGAGAACTAAAAGCACTTTACTATTTCAGAATCCACTATGTCCTGTTCATTTCCTGTATTTGATATGTAAGTCTTAGTATTAGGCAGTACCTAGGGATCTTAAGAGTTAGAAATTTCATGAGCATGACTTTGGAGAGCTTGTATTAACCACTTTTTTATTTTTCCAGTGGCTAATCACTTTTGTACGGGCAACAAAAGTTGTATAAAGTAAATCTTATTAAGACACTTAAGTGACTTAAATATCTTAATAAGAGGTTTATTATAAATTTTCAGGTTTAGCTGGAGAAAGCAAGATTATAAGTTCAATTACTGTATAGCTGTGACCTCGCCTTGACCTCAGACTTTACATAAAGAGCAAAAAAAAAAAAGCCACCCCAAGAAATCTCTAAAAGGAATGCGTTTCTCTGAAGTCCCCAGCAGTGTGAGTTAGTGGTGATAAACTCCAGACATTCCCTCATTTGATGGTGTGCTGCCTTCCCAGTTCATTATCTTAATAGTGGGCATTAAAATAGAATTAGGTTTGCAAGAGGTAGGGAAGGTTTCGACAAAAATTGTAAAAAAGAAGTCGGAGAACATAAGAATGAAATGTCACTAATTAGAAGAGGTAACGGATGCCCTTATGGACATCTCGCGCTCCCCACCAAATATCCCCCCCTTGCAATTGAAAAGAGTGGTGGCTGGTATTGTTTCCTGAAAATTCTGCTAATTCCCCCATGAAAAGATGAAATGGAAGTGTCCAACTGCGGTAAAACAGGCAAACATAAATCAACTCAGAAACCCCAGCCTGTGTACTCAAAGGTCACTGGGGGTTACAGGTTTTGCAGCATTTGAAACTGCACAGTGAGCGGGGGAGAGCCACTCTCTCTGCCAGGATCTCACTTTGCTCTTACTGTGATCCATCTTCTCTTCCTCCACCTCCCCCCATTGCTTTTTTGGGTTTTGTTTTGTTTTAAGGAATAATGATTTGCTCTACTTTCTTGGTTACAGGTTTATTAATGCCCGGAGAAGAATAGTGCAGCCCATGATAGACCAATCCAACCGAGCAGGCAAGTCCCCCATAGTGACTGTATTCAAGTCACGCAAGCGAAAACCATCCTCAAGCCATTCACCGGGAGGTCCGATACCTGGTAAATAAACTGGGAGTGAGTGCTAGGAGCGCCTGGCAATTAAAATGAAACCGGTTTAGTTTCATAACAACACTAATCAATTTAACATCATTATAAAAACGTTTGGAGAAGGTGGAAAAAAAAGAAAAGTAGCTCTTAAATCATTACAATGCTCAGTTACAATATTCTTTGTACACATTCAATATATTAATGTGATTTTTTTTCTGAGTTTGCCTTCCCAGCTCTTTCTGCTACTATGACCACTCCCTGGTGCATGGCTTGGTGTGGAATTGCTGTAAACTTTATTACCTGTCAAAAGGGCAAAGGGGTCAGGATCGCTTGTGGGACTCAGTAAAGTTCAAAGACATTCAATGAGGTAGAGCTTTTGTGTGCTTTAATAACCCAAGGCAGCTTACTTCTGAAGCAGCTTTTCATGTACAGTTAAAACATGGGATTCAGGTAGTGGTATAAATACACGATTCCTTTTCTCAGGCCTTCTCCTGTTAATATTCATCTTCTGGTGTTCAACTTTTTTTAAAAAATAGCTTTTTGTGTTTTAATCAGAGCTTAAAATGGCAACACGTCTATGGGATCACAACTTGCAGATCTAAAAATCCAAGAAACATCTTTCTAGGATTTATTTTTGTATTATAATATACCAATGAAATTAACAACAGTATTTACGAGGGGCTGATGTGAATCTATACTTTCTTTACAAAACACTCTCTCATCTCAGTGAGCACTATGAAAAACCGTGGTAAACACCACATGGAGTCACTACATATTTAGTCATATTCCCATAATTTTTTTCCCCTTGAAACAACTATTGTGTGATCGCCAGACAAAACCCCAAACATGACCTTTTTGTATCTTCACTATTCTTTGAACAGTGTTTTAAAACTTGGTCACAGGTATGTAGAGCTGAAATTTAACTTGGAGTGTTTTAAAATTTTATCTGCCTGGTATGTTCTCTCTCTCTCTCTCTCTCTCTCTCTTTTCTGTCTTGGAGACTGTTATTAAGAACCTGTGTTCTGCACTTTTGTAGTAAGTCAAGGAACACCTTATAACCCCGATGGACAGCCAATGGGAGGTTTCGTAATGGACGGTCAGCAACACATGGGCATCAGGGCACCAGGTAAGACTGCTTTGTGGTTGCTCCTCATTTGTAACTCCAAGAGTGTCACCCCCCATCAGCCCAGGTAAAGTCACTTCATCCTTTGCTGTTATCTCAAGCTGCCTGCCTTGCCTGCCATCTGTGCATCTAAGATATTGCAGAGGGGAAGCCAGGATCTTTACGCACTGAAGATCTCACTGTTTCTCAACCCTCTGGAACCTGTTTTTTTTTTTTTTAAGGGTCTTTTGGCACTATCTGTTGACTTTGCTCATTTTCTGGCCTCTTCTTGGATTTTTATCTCCCTTCTAGGACCTATGAGTGGAATGGGCATGAATATGGGCAT